TCGGGCAACCTCGGGGACTCCAGTCATGTTCCTGGGGAAAGTTCTTTGACTTTCAGGAACCAAAATAAGTCTGCAGGTGGAAGATCAGAGCCGCAGGGTGGGTGAGGCAAAGTTGCCCAGGGAAGCCCTCCAGGACACCCCTTGCTGTCTTGGCCGAGTGAGCAAGTACATGGCCCTGATAGAAACATTTCTTCAGCACAGCTTCTCTGCCGTTTTTCTCAACAGTGAGGTCATCTGGTTGAAATTTCATTCTAAAAAGCCCTCATGACCATCCGGGGTCCTGTAAGAACATGGAGTCTCCCCCTGGGGAGTTCCCGCAGATAGTCTCTATAGCTGTCAGAACGGGCTCGTCTGCCTTGCGGTGAAATCGCCCAGCAGACCCCTCCTACACGCCCCATTTGAATGGACTTTGTTTTGGTAAGGCATCTTCGTGCCAATCGCAGAAGAGTAGTTCTGAGAGAACTTACCTGCAGGCATCTCCCAATCGCAGAGACATTTCGGAGTGATCACCCCATGCACCACGTATGAACTGCGTCCTTAGGAGCAACGCTCTTTGACTTCCCCTGGCATATGACAAGAGTTGCCATTTCGGTATTTTTATTTGCCCAATTCAGTGACATTCATTACGGTTCTCACTTTGTGCAACCGTCAATATTATCCACGTTCAACACTTTCCATTTATTCTTTTCATTTCAAATCAGGGTTCTTATGACATGCATGAAGAGCCGGAAGGAGTGCCCGGGCCAGTTCCTAGTTAACAGCTCAGCCGCAAACAGAGACAGAGGTTGGAGTCTCCCCAGAGGAGCCCTAGTAAAATAGGCCTGGTCATCGACTTTTGGAAAAGCAGCCATTGGAAGCTCTGTGGAGCCTGCTTCTCCTCTGACCCACAAGGGGTCACCAGGAGTCAAAATGTGCCCCATGGCCACTGATAACTGGTGGGTCTGAGAGGGTTGGCTTCATCTAATAGCACTGATGCTTCTGAAGTTGGCACCCTCTTGAATGTAACACATACACCATGAACTGACCCAGGGTTTCAATTTCTCAATGGGCAGAGCATTTGAGCCTGGGCCTCACTAAACCCCTCAGGAAGTTTCTTTTTCTTCTGGACTCTGCTAAGATCTTGGTGAGGTCTTGGGTCAATAGAAGAGGTTATTGGTTTGCAATCCAGAGCATTTCATAATTTGAGCCCCCCTCCTTCCCCCATCTCTTCTCCCCCACTCTTCTGGATGGTGTCCCCCAAAAAAGAGTAAAGGCCCACCCCCCCCCCCCCCCAGGACCTGTGAACATGACCTTGTTTGAAAATAGGTCTCTTGAAGATGCTATTAGTTAGCATGTCAGAGTAGGGAGGGCCTAATTCCATCTGCGTGGTGAGTTCTTTATGAAAGAAGTGAAGGGCCAGACAGAGGAAGGGTGGCCGAGTAGAGATGCATCTACAAACCAAGGAAGGTTGGCGCTGACAGAGTTTGGAGAGACAAGAAAGGACATCCCCTAGAGACTTCAGAGAGATGGTGACCAATGCCAACAGCTTCCAGTTGGACTCCCGGCATCCATAACTGAGAGCACTGGTTCATTGCTGGTAAATGCCATTGCGGGGATTCCAACTCAGAGAGGGGCCAGTACGGCCTCAGAGGGAGTTCTTGGTTGTAATCTTTATGAGAACAGATCACTGGGTGTCCATCCTGAAAAACCACCAGATAAGTTTGAAGCACCACGAACCTTTTGGCTGGCACATGAGTGTTGCTCCACTAGCCTTAGGAAACAAATATGCATGCAGTGGCCTACCAAGAACTCCCCACCAGGTCTGCACACTTGCGTTCATTGTTCTCCGTTGGGCCTGCAATGTCCTGCCTCCATGTCCCTGCCAGTTGAAATCCTAAATGTTCTTCAAGAGCTGATTCAATTATCGCCCCCTCTGAAAAGTCATTGTCAGCCCTCTAAGAAGAAGCGATGCCTCTGCTCAGCCCCTATTGAAGCAGGCTTCCCAGGCCACCCTGAGCCCACCCCCATGTGTTCATCCCTGGACTTCCAGGTCCTTGAGGTCAGGGCACCAGTGTCAGTCATCTTTGCATCCTCCTTGCTTAGCAACGCCCCTTGCACACAGTAGGCTTCGACAAATGCCTCTTGAATACAATGATTTTAAAATGGGAGCAAGTAATAGCACAAGTACCATAGTGACTGATTCATGGGTTTTCAAAGGCCCAGACTTGCTTAAACCCATAACAGGTTCTATCCATCAAAAAAAATGTGCTACTCTCCAGTTCTGACAGAGAAATGTGGAAGCTATCAAAGAGAATCGATCAGCTTATAAAATATTTGTGGCCCTGCCGACCTCTGAGAACAAAACACAATCAATATCATTATTAGAAAGAACCAAAGGATTACAAAACAGAAATATAGGTCTGGGATTAAAATATTTGAACTGTGTATTCCTGGTACATGAACCCTTTGGATGAATTTTTTTTCATCTTTATTGCTCCCTTTACATATCTTGATCCTGTGACGTGTCACAGGCATTCCATTTTGTCCTGTATTGAAGGAGGTCTGTGGGGGTGAATCTGAATCACCTTTTATGAGTTTATATTGAACAGTACAAAGAAAAAACGGATTATGTGTTGTCCCGGATTTTGCAGTGAAAGCCTTTAAGAGGGCCGGAGCAATTGTCCTTGTGCACTGACCAGGGCCATCACAGAGCCGTGGCTAAAGGAAGTGCGTGCAGCAGGGTGTATTCATCAGCCACCAGGAACACCGAGTACTTCAGGCTCTAATGTTAGTATCGGCTAGTATTCATGGGAACTTTGTCTTTGTACCAAGAGGGGAAGTCCTTCCATTCAAATGCAAGGCATCCCTAGTTTTCTCCACCAGCTAGAGCAGCGGTTCTCAACCTGTGGGTCACAACCCTTTTGGGGGTTGAATGACCCTTTCAAAGGGGTTGCCTGATTTATAACAGTAGCAAAATTACAGTGATGAAGTAGCCATGAAAATAATTGTATGGCTCGGGTGTCACCGTAACATGAGGAACTGTATTAAGGGGTCGCAGCATGAGGAAGGTTGAGAACCACTGAGCTAGAGGGAGATGGGTCAATACGATGTGTGTAGGCCAAACTCCCAAGGTGAGATAGGATTTCCAGGCACCTCATATAAAGTCCCCCCTCCTTCATCTATGGAGTTAACACAGGGACACAGATGATAATGCCCCTTTCTGATCTTAGAACACAAGCGAAAATAAGATACTTCTGTGGCCTAACAAGGAGTTCCTTGGAAGAGCAAATGGTTAGCGTACTTGGCTGCTAACTGCTTAGAGCAGTGCTTCTCAACCTGTGAGTTGCGACCCCTTTGGGGTCGAACAAGCCTTTCACAGGGGTCGCCCGATTCATAACAGTAGCAAAACTATAGTGATGAAGTAGCAATGAAAATAATGGTATGGTTCAGGGGTCACCACAATGTGAGGAATCGTATGAAAAGGTCGCGGCCTGAGGAAGATAAGAGAACCACTGGGTTAGACGGTCAAGCCTAGCCCAGGGCTCCGTGGAAGATGGGTCTGCGGATCTGAAAGAGCAGCCATAGGGACTGCGCTTGAGTCCGGTTCCACTCTGACCGGGGTGGGGTGGGGTGGGGGTCACCCTGTTGGAGCCCCTGGATGCTTTTGCTCTGATCCGGATCCGTGGTGGGCTGGTGTCAACAAGTGACGGTGCACGTCCATGGACCCCTGCTACTGAAGTGAAT